TTGATATAAGTATGCTGAAAAAGTAGTGATTGTAGAATAGCCTGTTATTTCTCAAGGGGAAAAATCCTCAGTTGTGCTAGTGGGAGAGTGAAAAATTTAGTGGACAATTTTCAGCAATAAGATCATTTAGATAGTAGACTACTTCCTGATTTGCCTTTGCCACTGGGTGATCACAGAGAAGATACTTAAATGTTTCTTTGTTTGATTTTGTTTTTATCTTGGAATTTCTATTACTTTAGTTACCACATTCGTTTACTATAAAATGACAAGGCGATAATCCACAAAGAACGTCATCTGCAAAGAGAGGAATTTAATGGTTCCCATCAGAACATGAGAAAACAAGAGCAACATTTCTTCATTACAAAAGGGATTTCATAGTCATTTATCACAAAGTATTATGAAACTGAAGATCCTGGACAAAGCTGACTATTTAATTCAGACTCAGAAATCTTATAATAGCAATTCTTACTCTGAGTCAAGAGCTCAATCAATTCTCTTATAGGTTATAATTACTGAACAGAAACTTTTAAAACATCGCTTACATCACTTCCTTTTACTTTTGTATTTCTAGAGAGTTAAAGACCCAAAAGTTTTTAGGGTCTCCATGTCCCTGATAATACCATGCATCATTAGTTGTAGGTACTGTATTAGTTTTCCTTTACTGTGATACAACATGAGAAAAACCAACCTATATGGAGGAAAGATTTATTTTGGTTCATGGTTCCAGTGGTTCCAGGCCATGGTCATCTGTGTCTGTTGCTTTGGGTCTATGGTGGGGCAGTAGGCTAATCACATGGCAGCTCAGAGGTGAAATTGAGAGATGAAGGGGGGCCAGGTCCCACTAATCCCTGAAGGGCACACCCGAGTGAGCTTATTCTTTCCTGTACTGCTGGCCTCTTTAAAGTCCTAACATCTCCCACCAGTGCCTCAAGCTGGGGACCAAACACTTAGCACAGGGACATTTGGAGGACATTCAGTTCAAAAACTATAGCCTGTTATTCTGTGCTTTACATTCTGTGACTTCAAAATTCAGTCTGGTTTCTTATGTTTCTTTTTGTGGTATATATGTACTTCAGTACACTTGATTTGCCATAAAGAACAATGTCCACTCTGTTGACTTTTCATGTCTATAATGGGTCACTTTGCTCTGATTTCATTGAAATCAAATGGCTGGATGGCTAATTACTTCTGCAGTTAGAAAAATCACAGTGGCTGCTGCAGTTTTAGCCTGAAATAATTTAGCCAGGAGATAATTTTGCAGCATGTGTACACTGTTGGCTAAGTCAAATTCTTAGGTTAATTCTGATGATTTAAAAAAAAGGGCCTCACATGAATCCAGAAGGCAATGAATTAGAAGCACAAAAGCAAAATGAGTGACTGAGAAGGGATCGGAGGAGAGCCAAGAAGGAAGAAAGGTATTATTTATGCAAGTTGCAGGCATATCACGCTGCATTTTCTGCCTTTGGTTAGACACGGCAAGATTAAGGTCTGTCTACCTCTAATCACTTTAGCTGTTTTAATAAATGCAAAATTACCACATTCTACTAAGATTTCAGCTAGGAAGACCTTCTGATGAGTCTTTACCTTGTTTTCTTTCAATGCAGCAGGAATTATAATGAAGAAATTAAAGCGTTCTCTGTAGACAATAGAAAGAGAGTCCCAAAAGCTTTTATAACTTGACTCTTGCTGACAGCATTAGCTGAATTTCAGAGTTGTATTTAATATTTTAGGAGATGTGATTTCAGAACAAAAATAAAATTCTGAAATAATAATATCTTTATTGTGGTACAAGCCCCTTATCTTTGTATTCCTCAATAATTTAAGAGGCAGCCTTACTCAGATGCAATGATACTTTTGTTTATAACTAAGGAAAAGCTGAAAGAGACTGTATTTTCATATAAAACCAGTCAATGAGTGCCTAATATGTCCCAGGGATTGTGATAAGGGCCAGGTATGCTATTGAGCAAGACAGACATGACTGCTTTTATAAAGCTCGTATTATAGTGGGAGATAGAGAAACATAAGCAAACCCTGTGACAAAGTCTATGATAAGGGAATTATAAATAAAGCTCTATGGGAATAACCAAGAAAAGGTGCCATTCAATCTGGTTTTCTACTTGGAGGGCTTCCTGAAGGAGGTGGCCTTTAAAGTAAAGTTTTAAGGGTAAGAAGGGGAAGGATGCTATAGAGAAGAACTCATTCAAAGGTTCAAGATTGTGTGGAGAAGAAATGGTAGGACTTAGTAGGACTAAATGATTGTGGTCATGGTAATGGTCCTGACTGATTATAGAGAAAGGAGAGGGCTAGAGACATTGACATGAGCTATGATCTGAATCTGTTTACTGCGGGACAGGCTAAGGAGAGTGGATTTTGACTGTTAAAATGACATTGTTAGATTTATTTTAGAAAGATGAGTCAATTCACAAGGCAACATGTAAAGAGAATCTGAGTTTTCAGTATCTCAAGGTATAGGAAAAATATGTCAATAGATTTATGTTTAGACTGAATATAAGTGGACTTCGATTTTTAGTGGACTAGATTTTTTGATAGACCTTCTAGCTAAAAACAACTGAAAAACCTCTCACATTATTACACCACTGATTTTCTGGCAAGGAATTAAGAAATCCCCAAAGGCTAAAAAGCTAGTGAGAGTGAGATCTAAGACGGTAAGTGGAGTAATGAAGCCAGGTTTCATTCTGAAAGGGTTTGCCAAATCTAGGTGGCCTGCTCTTTTGTTGGCAAGTCCCTACAGTGCCTAAAAATGTGAGAACAAGAATATGCAGGGAAGGTGGGACGGGCAGGGGAAGGGTAAAAAGGGAAAAGAAAAAAATGTGAGATAATGAAGAGATGAAAATAAAGTGTTTGTAGATGGGGAGGGAGGAGGGGCTGAAGGGAGGGCAGAAACAAGGGGAAAAAATGAGAAGCAAGACCTGTCATGTAGAGGTACAAGATCCCAACAATGAAAATAACTGTACTGTATCCCTAAAATGTACCAATAAACTCAATTAAAGCTGAAAAAAAAAAGAATATGGCCACTAAGTATTCAAAAATTCAAAGAAGAAACCCCATGAAAAAACAGGACCCTGTAGCCTTTGATAAAAGACACCAATATCCATCTAAGAGGAATGAATAAAAGAAGATATTTGCCTAACTCACCACCCTAAAATTGAGGAATCAAAAATAGAGTATTTTATATTTAGTACAAAAAAGTTTGTTATAAGAAATTTTATCCACTTCAGTATCATAAACTTTTGTTTGTAAAGAGTTCTCAGATTACCATAGTATTAATTGTAACCAATTTTGTGTTCACAAGATCATCATGGGTGAAAATTTGGGTCTGTAGTACTTGAGTCATTTACTCCCTTATATGTAGTTATTTTTATTTTATATTGGAACTAATTTTAAACTGTATGGTACTTTGCAATATAATTAAAATGCTGAGCCAGAATGAAAACCATCCTAAAAGTCATTTAGCTCCATTCTAAGTAAGGAAATAGAGATTTATCAAAAAGCAGTGTTGCTTTCTCGTATTATAGATTCATTTAATAACTGAAGATTCCCTGTCTCCTGAAACCTAAATAAGTACCAATTTTAGATGACTGGTTGTTGGCTGATAGTCTTCCTTCCCTGAATCTCACGAAGGGAAAGATCACTGTTCATATTATAACATTAGTAAACTCACATGAGAGGCAAAATATTCTTTACTGGAACAATGCTGGTAAAACTTAAGTAAAATTGGAGTTTTTAAAAACAGGCACTTCAAGAGCATGGTAGGAAAAAGGTTGCTTTTTGGCTGAAGGCACAAACTTCATTTTCATTAACCACTAGTATGAAATGCAGAGATTGCTGTTACAGTGCACAGCAACTCCTTTTTCCAAAAATGCTGAGAACTGATAAAAGCTACATTTCTTGCAAGAAGAAAAATGCTTTTAAGAATCGTATCTTTGTTGTATGTGGACTCTATTTTACTTCCAAGTTGCACCTTTTTTATACATTAAAATGTTGCATGTTCAATGCAGTAAACAACATCCTATCATAGTTTTTTTCTTCTCACTGTACCTGGCCTCACTGCTAGTGGAATCACTGACACCTCAATTTTGTAGTGGCCTCACCCACATTAACTTTCTAAGCCTAATACTACCTCTAGAATTCTTGTTTGTAGAAATTTCTGGGCTGTCCTAATCATATATGATAAATGTCCTTTTTTAGGGGCTATTTTTTTTAAAATTGAGTTTATTGGTACATTTTAGGGATACAGTACAGTTACATTCATTATTGGGATCTTATACCTTCACATGACAGATCTTGGTTCTCATTTTTTCCCCTTGTCTCTTTTTTTTGGTCTTTTTTTTTCCCCTCACTTTTCTTTTTTGGTATGGGGAATTGAACCCAGGGCCTCGCGCTTGCCGGGCAGGCGCTGCGCCGCTGAGCTACATCCCCAGCCCTATAATAAATATCTTAACAAATTCACTTAGGCTAAAGAAATGAAAATAAAATACATTTATGTTGTAAGACAAATTGTATAGTAAGGAAGAAATGTTATTGGGATGTTCAAGAAAACAGTTACAGTGGTTCTTGGTCTAGACAGCTAAGAAAAATTCACCTGTGATATTGTCAGTGTCAGAGAAAAGTTATTTATACGATTATAAATATTATATATATACATATATATTTGAACCAACACTTCCACACCTGTCAGTAACTCAGGGAAGCATTTGGCTAGAAATACTTTTCACAAACGACCACTCTTATTCGTCCCCATGAAGTACGTGCTTCTGTTAGAACAAAGAGGGAGTAGAGGTCACCTCTGCACACAGACTAAATGAGAAAATTACTGACAGTGCAGGAAGATAATTAGAATCATTGCCCTGCCCGTTGAGTCAAATTAGCAGAAGGCTGCTTCTCGCGAGCACCTCTAGATGGCAGCAGTACTCTTTCATTCGAAGACTGCCCTTTCTTTTCAATTTCTCTCCTGGGTAGTTGTTCTTAGCTGCGGTGTGTGATGATTTAAACAACGCCTCGATGCTGTAGGATGTTGGTGCTCACAAATTAGGTATATCCTTTTCTTTTTTTTCCTAAATAGATAATATACTGGGTTTTCAAAGTCAATTAACACTTAGGGCAAATGAAATGGGGAAGCAAAAGGTCACTTTCTAAAGGGTTGCCTTGAAACCTTTTGGTATTATTCAGGTGTCATCCAGGAATTGCAAATCACTGGGAATAGAAAGGAAATAATAATTAGTTCATTTTGTTTCTTGATAACTCCCAGTAAGATGGCTTAATATGACTTTGCTGCTTTCTTTCCCAGCAATGCCCATGGTATACTCAGAAGGCTGGCTGGTAATTTCTATTTTTTTACAATCTTGAAGGTGATTGGGATGCTTTGGGGACAATTTATGCATCAGGAGAGGGCTGGTGGAGAGAAACCCTAAAATGTCGGAATTGTAATATGGTTGGATATGCTTATAAAAGAGAATTGCTCTGACGATGACATAAGATAGGGAAAGTGACAGACAGAATGATGAAAATTACAGGACTCCCTTTCACAGTATAATCAGCATCGATTCCAACCCCAAACAGTGCTAAGTGAAGCTCAGAGCTCAGTAACGAGAGGAGGCACAAACATGGAACCACTACAAGTTTTGACTTTAGAGGCACTTTGGAGTCATTGGGTGAGTACTAAGGTAGCTCATCAGATAAATGTCTCAGGATGTAATAGTGTAAGGTTTTAATAACTTATTTCAATTCCATGTAGGAAACAAGCCTGGACACCAAAAACAATGAGCAGATATTAAAAGAATAACCAGACATCCTGCAAACGAGATTATTAACAAATTGACTTTTAGCTCTACTGCTGGTGATGTGCCCGTTTGGACAGGCCAAGTGGGAGCTGGGTGTTGCATCCTGCCTCACAGTTAAGATTGCAGTCAGAGTTCCTTTCTGTCTTTTTTAAAATTTTAATGTAGAAAGACCTTCACTTGGTTTAATAACCTTTTCCTTCTTGAATAAGGAGTTTCTGTTTGCCATCACATGAATAGAAAAAGCCGTGCTCCAGAAACTCTGGGAGATTATTGCATGCCTAGCTACAAAAATAAGATTTTGAAAGAGCAGAAGGGATGGAATAAGTACATAATGAGCAAATGCTTGTGAGGTAAATTATTATTCGATGTTTGAACTGGTCTGTTAAAAAGGAAATAATAATCATCGCAATCCTGCAAGTACTGCTGCCTGGTGGGAGACAACAGCAGCTCTGTTGGACATACTGCTGGGTACCCGCACAGCATTCTCCTTCCACGATACAACCCGAAACATTATAGACCCAGGAAAAAACTCGCGTGCTCGCAGTGGCTGTGGCTGCCGGGCTGTGATTCTCTGTACGTTTCCAACCATAAAGGGGGCACGTGATACTGTGTTCCTTTTCACCGCTATGGGTCAGAGCAAAGTTTGAGGTGATAGGTAAATTATGAGCTAGCAGAAGGGCTGATTGAAAGGTTGACATTTCATCATTAGAAGTGTTTCTGTTGAGTGTAGGTGTTAGTCGAACAAGCACAGGTCACAAATGCCAATCGGATAATTGAAATTAATGAAAATGCAAGGAGAAGAGAAAGGGAGTTCCTGCCTGCACTGACAAGTCAGAGTGCTGTGTTGGAGTCCCAGCATTCCCAGGAGGGTCTGTTGCTCTGCTAAACCTTGGTCTTTTACCTTCTGTGCCACTCTGTTCATATCTAATAGGACCAGCTGCAACCCAGTTCTCTAGACCATTAATAAAATCTCTGACTGTATTCACTTGAAGGCTTAGCTACCCTCTGGGAGAGAAATCTAAGGATCTGAGCTGGTAAGAACACTTAGAGATATATGGTGAAAAGAGAGGAGTGATTTTTAAACTATGATCAGAAACTCTTGTTCAGAAAACTGACGGCTGATCTGAGATCAGTGGCTCACTGTGTTCTTGACCTATTCCTGCTCTGTCTTCTCTCTCCTCCTCCCCCCTCCTGTCATGAAAAACTTTTGTGTCCTTGGTGTCCCCCTCTGCTCCACATCGATATGCTCACCATACGTGACACACGATTGTCACCAGAATCAGCCCTGGCCTCCCCTTGTCAAAAGGACCGTCAGCCACTGACCCCTCTTCCCAGATGGCTCAGGCTTTGGCAGGTGTAACAAGCTAAAATTGAGGTTTGTGGCAGTTACTCCTGGCACCCAGGAGACAGTGTGGCTCTCCTGGACTGAGGGGAACAAGGGGGAGGCTCTGCATCACTGCTCACTCCTCTCTGTAGAGATTTGTTTTATTTTACGTGAAAAAATGTCTCTTCCCCCCTTTTTTGTTTACCTAGTGTTCACCATTTAAAAATAATGCAGCATCTTCATTAAGGTGTAAACTTACGAAACATTACTCCTACTTGCATTTTTCTCTAGGTGCCAACACATCTCAGCAAGCTTTCAGACAACAGTCACCTAGCAACCATTTTTCATACATTAAATGATTTCAAACTCTCACATTTCCCTCCAAAAGAGCTGTGTGTTTTACCTGTCCTCTCCCTGTTATAGCTGAAGGAAAGAGCAATCAAGAGAGAGAAAGCATATGTAGTTTAATCATAAAAAATGAGCTTTAAACTACTACTGCTTTTAAACATATAAGGGTTTTGTGCAATAGCTTCCTAATCCATTTGTTTTTTTTTATTTAAGTGGCCATGTTTTAGTTGAGAGAGGTGCCACTGCCAGGGACAGAAACACTGAAATGTAGTGAGTTTAACCAGAAATGTATGGAAATGCAGACAGTCCTGGGCTGGTGTGGCAGTGCTGGTGTCACTAGGGCCTCAGTACCGCCCGTCCTGATTCATTTACCATCCTCAGCACACAGTGTCTTTTCATTTGTCTGGCATGGCTTTGGGGGCTCAGATTTTGCATCCTCATTTTAGGCACCAGGAAAAAGAAAAGAGAAGTAAATCTTATGCTCCCTTACTTTAGGCGACATCCTGGGAGTTTCAACAGTTGGTTCTATCTCTCTTCCATTGGCCAGAACTTACATACAGGCCACACTTCTTGCATCACGGCAGTCTTTTTTTTTTTCAGTCTTTATATTTTATTTTCATTTGGCCAATTAATTTTTAGAGGAAAGAAAAGAGGGTGGATACTGGAGAATACTAATAAGTATCTGCATTGAGTCAAATATTTTGTTCCTTCCAGAAGAAATGCTTTCTTTCCTCTGAGAAAAACAGATGATTTAACAGAGGTGAAAATGCGAACATGACCAGAATGCAGTTGTGAGGACAGTTTGAGTCTTAAAGCAGGTAAAAATATTGGAACGTGGTTGTGTTGTTTATCATCTTGGGGGATTTGGAGCAAAGCCCATTTTTTTGCTCACTCAAAGGCATTTTCTTTACATGTTGTATTAAAAGAATCTCCTATGAGCTGTGTGTCACAGGATGGAGGAAGTTTCTAGAGTCCCAATCATTTAACAAAAAGTAAACTGAAGAAGGCATGCTGAAAAGCATTTGGGGTTTATGGAAATGTTGGTGACTTTTAACAGTTAAAGATAATGAGGATATAAAATGTTACTTATAGAATGTGGCTTTCAGGCTTTTACCAGCTGCCTGCTTCCCAGGTCAGCATGATCATGCATGATTAGTTGAATACCTGCTGTTGGTTAGATCAACACAATTAAAACATATATAGTAAAGGGATGCCTGTTCTTTACTCCAGAGATACTGACTTATTGATCTGGGTTGGGTCTAGACAGTGACATTTGTTAGCAATTTCCCCAGAGAAACCAGCAGTCAGGCCTTCGAATCAGTGAATTAAATGCCTCCAAGTCAGATTCCTATGAACCCATGCGGCAATCTCGTAGGGACGTCATCAGATTAATATTAATGCCATGTGTAACTTTCTAATATCTGAAAGGTGGCTAAATCACACATTAAATCATTTATAATTTTATGTTTATATTTTAGAAGATTCAGTAGTGGCTATAAACAAAGATTTGGAGTCATGTCTAAAACTTCATTCTACGAATTAATAGCTGTGTGATTGAAACTAGTTCATTCATTTTTGTATGGTTCTGTGTCCTTACTTGAAAAACAGGACCATACAATATCTATCTTTGGGGTTTATATGATAATTAAATGAATGATTTATGTAAAATTAATAGTGGCATAGTGATTATATCTGACATAATCAGAGTTTATAAAATACTTTTTATTCCATAAGTATTTTTTATGGTATATCTTTAAGATTGTTAGGACAGCAAGTATCTATCATTAGCATGCTTTTTGTAAATTAAATAGTTGTAGACCGGTAAAGGATTTTTCTCCATGGGTCTCCAGTGTGGGAAGCCCAGCTGCTCTAACCCACAGAGAACATGAGATGTGTGTATAATAGCCAGGGCCATTGTTAGCATGGCGGGTCATGTGCAGGAAGGAAACAAAGTAAAATGCAAGGCAGGTGTGTCAACTGCCAAATCTATTTCTCCAGGTTCCATTTTAGAGAATAATAAAATATTTCTAAATCTCTTTCAGTTATTGTCAGATGCCTTAGTTCTTATAACTGAAATGGGAGTGGAAATGGCATGTGTCACTTCTGAGAATGGACATTAATTCATAGGGTGTAAGTTCTCATTCCTCTGGGATGAAACCTGCAGAGTCCTGGCTTTAACTATGTGGAAATAATGTCCTACAGAATGGCAGAGCAACAAAATGAAAGAACTGTGCATCCTGAATGACAGTCCTGATGTGAGCTGTCCTAGATGGCACAAGAGAAAACATTGGATTTTGTTCATTAAGTTGCCAAATAGTTGGGTTTCCTTATTGCAATGTATACTATTCACTAAGTCCCAAATAAGTATGCATTCTAGAGGCAATGATTCTGCATATCAGAGTTTCTCAAAGTGAGGTTCCCAGCCCAGGATAGGTAAACAGCTGAGAGTTTGTTAGAAGTGCAGATCTCAGGGCCTACCCAAGTCCTTCTGAATCAGGGACTTGCAGATGGGGCTCAGGAGTCAGTGTTTGATGAAACTCTTCAGGTTATATATATATCTATATACATATATATCTCCTG